TCATATACTGATCCATAGCGACTAACGAGTACATTTAGCAGGACATTTCCTCTATCCAAAGTATGAAACACTTACAAGCTCTCTCACCCTCCATCCACGCCTCGAACCATTCCTTCTCACCCAGGATTACTTCGCTTATTCCTTCCCACTTGGAGCTTTCGGCTTTAGATCTTTTGTCCTGTGGCTCGGTAGCGGCTGCGCTCGTACCACCTAAGTCAAACCCTTCCTCCTTCAGTGAACTGTCGAATGCAAGTGCCTGGTAGATCGTATGTGCGAGGATGGGTGGATGAGAGATAAGGGTAGGAATTGTTTTACGGAGTTTTCTTGAGAGAAGAGGGAGAAGAAGGAGCGTAAACTCGCGCTTCATAGTAAAATAGAAACAGTGTTATTTGGAAACAGGAAGTGGGACTACGCAACTTACCCAAGCTACAATGTGGCGATATTCGGTCTGAGAGAGTAAAGGTTGAATAACGTTGTCCATGAATGATCGCTGTTCGTGTGCAATATTCAGAATATGGGTGAAGTACCACTCAGGCTATATCGCAACAATGAATACCATGCATCGACTGTAGATTCGTAGAACAGACCTTGTCAAGACGATTAGTTTGCCGACTCCCTTCGAAGTGGTATTTGAACCTTAGAGATACAGGCTGAACGAGCGCCTCTATTGGATAAAGCCCATCTCGTTCAGTCCGCTCTTGTGTTTGGGGATGTAGCTGCGTTCCGCTGTTGTAATGTTAGGTAGGTCAACCACGTCATGAACATTGACATACACGCTTTGTAGTTTGAGAAGATTGTGAAAGGCGGTTTCAAACGCCTTCCTATCAGCTGGTGTGACTTCATTGTAATTGACCGTCATTGGCCACTGCAACTTTTCTGAAGCAACGAGCAATGTTCTGAGAAAGGGCATATGCATTAGTATACCGGAATGGATCCAGCTTCAACGTTGACGTACCCGGTGAAAGCTCCTTTGATTTCATTCCATGTGCGATCTTGGATGTTTGTGAGGAATGTAACGACATGCAGCGTTTGCTGTCCTGCTGCATCCTCAATAGACGTACATGCCTGTCTGACCGATAATACAAATTTCTGGAGGTCCTTGTAGTTTGAGATGCAGTCGAATGGAGATGCAGGGGACTTTGCCAGAACAACTGCCCCTTCACTGGACAACCAGTCAAGAGTATGTTTTGAGAAGATAAATTGGGTATACACGTGCCTGATTCTCAACGCGTTTTCTACTACTTGAATGTAGCCCTTCACACTCTGTAGCTCCTTCAGGCCTCGGTGGAGAGTTTCCACGTCCTCGAGAAGTGTCGGCTTCCCATCTGGACCTGCCAGCGATGAGACTAATTGCTGAGACAAAAATGTGAGCTCATCCGCTAACGAGTGCCTCAGCAGTGAAAGTTCTTGTGCAGTGTGGAGCTGCTCTGAAATCGACTCCCGTGTGTGTGCTACCACATCGTTTACATGTAGCTGAGATTGGGTGAACTGAGCTAAGGCAATTAAGCATTCAGGAATGTATAAAAGGGTCAAGACATTCATGTACGCACATCGTCTTTTAGCTGGTTATGTCGTGCTTCCGAAACATCAACGCCGTCCTGGAAGTCGGTGGCATCCTCCAGGTCCTGCCACGAATGTAGTCTGGCATTCAGGTAATCTAGAGTGCGTTTCTGGGAGCTTTCTTCATTTGAAGAACCAAGGAGTGCTCGTATTTGAGCAGAGGACATAATTGAAAGTTGACTGTTACACGACGCTTTCACGGCCCTCGACGC